GCATCGACTCGTGGATGGGGAGCAGTGTGCATGGGCATGCCGGCTTCAGGGCTGTGGTCAGAACCTGGCCTGGCCAGAAGAGCCGGTGGCACATAAACTGCTTGGAGCTGGAGGCAGTGTTCTTAGCTTTAAATGATTTTTGGACGCAGCTGGAACAGCGGCACGTACTGATTCGCACTGACAACATGTCTGTGGTCTCGTACATAAATCACCAAGGAGGCATATGCTCCAGGGCTCTCTAGAAGCAAGCAGCGAATGTCCTGTTATGGGCGGACCGTCACTTTCTCTCCATCAGAGCAGTGCACATACCGGGTCTCCTGAACTGCAGGGCGGACATGCTTTCGAGGAAAGGGATTCCTCAAGGAGAGTGGAGGTTGCACCCCGAGTCGGTTCAGATGATTTGAGCCTGCTACGGGAGAACGGAGGTGGATCTGTTCGCTACGAGCGAGAAAACGCACTGCCCGCTGTTCTTCTCCCTGTCTCACTCCCCGCTGGAAGGGGATGCTCTGACATCACACTGGCCAGCAACCAGGCTGTATGCGTTTCCTCCGATCAAGATATTGCCACTGGTGTTATGCAAGATCAGAGAGGAGGAGGCTTCGGTGATACTCATCGCCCCAAACTGGACGAACCAGCCTTGGTTCCTGGACCTGGTGGAGCTGCTGGTGGCACCGCCCTGGCCAATCCCCATCAGGAAGGATCTGCTGTCACAAGCGAGTGGCTTGGTGTGGCACCCGAACCCGGGGTTATGGAGCCTTCATGCGTGGCTGCTTCAAGGATACCAGAGGAGCTGAGCGCCCTGCATTCACATGAGCGCCCTCCACGAGGCGTTTGTATGCTCTAAAATGGGGATTGTTTGTGAATTGGTGCCGTGATGTTCATATCGACCTGGCTGCTTGCTCCGTGTCGAATGTTTTGCGTTTTCTACAGTGCAGACTGGATAGTGGATGGCTACCATCAACACTAAAAGTCTATGTGGCTCGTTTCGTTCCCCGCTGGGCGGGCAATCGATTGGTAGGCACGCGCTGGTGGTGAGTTTTCTTGGTGGTGTTAAGAGCTCTTTCACAGCCACCATTCGAGCCTTTAGCATCCGTTGATATGAATGAGCTATCTCTCAAATCTGCACTTCTTGTTGCCCTCGCTTCGACTAAGTGCATAGGGGATTTACATGCATTTTCTGTGGACAGCGACTGTATTCACTTCAGACCCGGTGACTGCAGCGTCACTCTCCGGCAGAGACCGGGCTACATGCCTAAATCACGATCTACCCCCTTCAGAGCGCTGACCGTTTCGCTGTCTGCCCTGTCTTCTGAGTCATCGACCTCGCTTGATGCAGACGCTCAGACTTCGGTGTGCCCCGTCAGGGCTTTGAGGATTTACATTGACCGTTTGGCCAGCTTTCGACAATCTGACCAGCTTTTCGTGTGCTATGGTGGTTGTGTGAAAACAGAGATTTTCCCACTGGATTGTGGACGCTATCACAGCTGCTTATTCGAGCCCAGGTTTGGAATGCCCTTTGCACATTAGGGCCCCACGATCTACCCCCTTCAGAGCGCTGACCGTTTCGCTGTCTGCCCTGTCTTCTGAGTCATCGACCTCGCTTGATGCAGACGCTCAGACTTCGGTGTGCCCCGTCAGGGCTTTGAGGATTTACATTGACCGTTTGGCCAGCTTTCGACAATCTGACCAGCTTTTCGTGTGCTACGGTGGTTGTGTGAAAACAGAGATTTTCCCACTGGATTGTGGACGCTATCACAGCTGCTTATTCGAGCCCAGGTTTGGAATGCCCTTTGCACATTAGGGCCTGCTCAACAAGGGCTATCACCTCCTCCTGGACGTTCAGTCCTTAGCCTCCCAAGTGCTGTCGGTGAGTGACTGATTCACGTTTATGCTACCTCTATTCATGTGTGTTATGCTGCCTTGCACAGTAATTACTCTGTGCAGCACTCTATGCTATTGTTGTTGTTGTTGTCTTCACTCTACTCAGTGCAGCTTTCTGTTATTCATGTCTGATTCACTTTGTGCTACCATTATCATGTTATGTGTTATGCTGCGTAAACATAGTTATCTCTGAGCAGCCCCTTTCAGTACTGTTATTGCTTCTGCCCTGTTCTCAGCGCAGCTTATGTTATTATGGGCCAGATATGCAAATTTAGTATACCTTGGATTTAGAGGCTCATTGGCTTATCTCCACCTATCAGCTGAGAGCCTTCGGTGTGCCCCGTCAGGGCTTTGAGGATTTACATTGACCGTTTGGCCAGCTTTCGACAATCTGACCAGCTTTTCGTGTGCTACGGTGGTTGTGTGAAAACAGAGATTTTCCCACTGGATTGTGGACGCTATCACAGCTGCTTATTCGAGCCCAGGTTTGGAATGCCCTTTGCACATTAGGGCCTGCTCAACAAGGGCTATCACCTCCTCCTGGACGTTCAGTCCTTAGCCTCCCAAGTGCTGTCGGTGAGTGACTGATTCACGTTTATGCTACCTCTATTCATGTGTGTTATGCTGCCTTGCACAGTAATTACTCTGTGCAGCACTCTATGCTATTGTTGTTGTTGTCTTCACTCTACTCAGTGCAGCTTTCTGTTATTCATGTCTGATTCACTTTGTGCTACCATTATCATGTTATGTGTTATGCTGCGTAAACATAGTTATCTCTGAGCAGCCCCTTTCAGTACTGTTATTGCTTCTGCCCTGTTCTCAGCGCAGCTTATGTTATTATGGGCCAGATATGCAAATTTAGTATACCTTGGATTTAGAGGCTCATTGGCTTATCTCCACCTATCAGCTGAGAGCCCGCCTAACAAGCATTGGTATTGGTTATGGGAATTACCGTATTGACCCGAATATAAGACAATGTTTTTTTCTTGGAAATACATCTGAAAAAACGCGGTCGTCTTATATTCAGGGCCTAGACTTTGACATGTCAATAATACACCCACAACAATAGGTGGCGCCAAATACGCATAAAACAAGTGTGCCATGAAATACGTAATGTAATGCGTGTTGTACAGATCGCGAGTAAAAACAAAAGAAAAAGAAAACCTTACAGCTGCATGAGTCATGACTGTCACGTTAGCCTGATGGGACCAAACTCTCTTTGTGATTTTAAAACGCAAGACAGTACCCAGATTTGAAGACTACAGTAAGATTTAACTTCTACTGTTAATAAGATTTTGGTAGGCTACTATTAGATGGAAAGCCTAAATGTCCTAATTCAGATGGGCTACCTGTTTTTTTTTTTTAATGGTATATCAAAAAGTGTATATATTTTTTAAATGTGATTGGTACATTTGACCAGTTTTGACCATACTTTCAAAACAAAAATTAAAAATCGAAAAATATGCAATATGAAAATATTTGAAGACAAAATGTGTTTTACTGAGAAAAAACAAGATTTGCTGCTCGTAGCCTCTCTCACGGCAGGATTGGATATCGTTCCCATAGCGGAGAAACCTCCGTGATGTCTCGTGGAAACTCGAAAGGAAACATCTCCGGTTACTATCATAACCTCGGTTTCCTGAGAGCAGGAATGAGACATTGCGGAAGTCGCCGTGTTTGCTGCTCGACCATCTAAGCGGAGTTCAGTATCAGATTCTGACGTAATTGTCACTTGCACCGCATTTTATATTGCCTCTCGAGCTCATTAGTATTTGCATACTTCACAACAATTGGCCAGTCAACTGGATTGGCGTGAGCCAATAGGACTTCAGGAAAGGTTGGAAGGGAAGGAGTTCCCATAGAGGAGAAACCTCCATGATGTCTCGTTCCCGTTCTCAGGGAACCAAGGTTACGATAGTAACCGGAGACGTTTTCTACTGCTGCTGTGCATTCAGAGTTGCTCTTCTGCATACCTCAGTTGTAACAAGTGGTTATTTGAGTTAGGCCTACTGTTGCCTTTCTATCAACTGGAACCACTGAACCCTAATATGGGCAAAAGCATCCAGCGATCGCTGTAGCTAAAACCAAGTTCACACTACACGACTTTAAACGTCTGCAGATCGCTGTGCTGTTCAGACTACATGTCTTGCTGTCGGTCTTGAAGTTGTTGTGGTGTTTACACTACGCGACACTACGTAAATGATCCACAACAGGGGGTCACACACTACACGAGCCGACAACTCTGTCACCCAATGACTCTACACGGTCCCCAAACCACATTTTGTCACAAAAACATACGCGAGAAGTGGAACGGGAGTTATTTGAAAATGGATGTTGGGAAGAAATTAGTGCTGCAAGCTGTTTTGCGTGATGATGTGTTTTGAAAAATTTCGCTCCATTTCGTGTCTAAACTTTTCTTAAAGCCGTGTTGCTGCTTCTGTTTTTCTTCCGCTGACCTTAACCCATGCCTTGCTCTCTCATTGGCTGTAGCTCGTTGTGAGACCTGACACCACGTGATGTCGAGTCGGCAGACCGGTCCAGGTATTTAGCATTCTAGACATTTGCATTGAGTAGCTCACACAAAGATTGCCGAGCACTGATCACCCGCCGACTTTCCCCTGATCACAGCCCGACTTGTCGGCAAGCTCATTGACTTGCAAATTGGGCTTAAATCGGGCTTAAAATCCTGTAGTGTGAACTTGGCAGAAATCTTTGAACTGATGAAGTATGACAATATATTGTTTATGTGTGCTCTTCAAGTCATCCCCAGGTAATAAATTAAATATATGAATGATGCCGTGACAGTACAGAAATTATAAAATATATTTTCTGGCTTATTCTGTGATAAAAATGGAAAAAGTGTTTGTAGCATATAAATCAATCATAAAATTGGAAAAACAAAATAATAATAACAATATATAACTATATATATATATATATATATAAAATACAAATTATTGGTTATTGTCCAGCAGTGTTTGATTGTTATTGTTTGATTTCTTAGCCAGTTAAAAGACAGAAAATAAGTTTATTTTTTTTGTCAGTTAAAAATGGTTTAAATCAGACTGAAACTGAATGTTTCATGTCCGTGTGAATTTGCATGAATATAGACTACTCACCCAAACCAAATGGAGTTGAATCCCCAGTAAATGAGCCTGCGAGGGAAGACATGATAATCCTAAACGGAGATCTTTTGAAAATGTGTCAAGGCTCACACACTTTTTTCAGTGTTTAAGTTAAAAGTAGGTTAAGTAATTTTAGGTATTTTTCCTGGTCAACAAATGGTCTGAGGAAGGCGCTGAAAATGCTGTTTGTCAACCTCATGCAAGAAAGTTGGTCAGCCTATCTTTTTGAATGGGAAAAAAGGAAATCTATATAACTGTTTCAATAACATATCACTATAGTCATTAAATCTGACAACAAAATTATTATAAATTATGTTTCAGGCTGGTTCAGCTAATAAATTAGCTAATTTCAACAGGAATTTCCATTACATTGTGGTGATGTTTTAGATTTGGAATGTTTAGCTATATAATATCACACATAAATTGTGCCTTTAAAGCTTTAAAATGCTTGCCACATTCCATGAATATTCACTCTCAGAATTTTTTTTTGCAAAATTTGTCATACAACCTTCTTTACTCCTACATAGTTGTACCATAAGAGTACATCTTACTACCTTAAAGGGTTAGTTCACCCAAAAATGCAAATTAGCCTGTGTTTTACTGTGATATTTTTTTTTACCAAAACACATGGATTCACTACAGGAGGTCTTTATTCACCCCCCCCGGAGCCGTGTGAGGTACGCTTTATTATAAATGCACGCTAATAAATTAGCTAATTTCAACAGGAATTTCCATTACATTGTGGTGATGTTTTAGATTTGGAATGTTTAGCTATATAATATCACACATAAATTGTGCCTTTAAAGCTTTAAAATGCTTGCCACATTCCATGAATATTCACTCTCAGAATTTTTTTTTGCAAAATTTGTCATACAACCTTCTTTACTCCTACATAGTTGTACCATAAGAGTACATCTTACTACCTTAAAGGGTTAGTTCACCCAAAAATGCAAATTAGCCTGTGTTTTACTGTGATATTTTTTTTTTACCAAAACACATGGATTCACTACAGGAGGTCTTTATTCACCCCCCCCGGAGCCGTGTGAGGTACGCTTTATTATAAATGCACACGCTTTATTTGATGACTTGTGGACTGTTCAACTGCAACACCTGCTGACTGCAATCATAGAGCTTGGAATAGCCAGGACAATTTTTAATATAACTCAGACTGGATTTGTCTGAAAGAAGAAAGTCATAGGATGCTAGGATGCTTCGAGGGTGAGTAAAACACAGGCTAATTTTAATTTTTGGGTGAACTAACCCTTTAAGGGTGCATATATATATATATATACACACACACACACACTACACGGTGTATATACACACACACACACACACACGGCAATGGGCATGAAAAACAGCTCAACCCAACATTAGGCTAACACTAGGCAACAAGAAGGCTTTATTGTGTTATTTGTGTACATCCAGGATTTTTTTTTTTTCATTGAACAAACCTACAGTGGCGATTAGCTGTGGGTATATACCATTGATCTACTAACATGTTTTACAAAATAACCAGAGAATTTCCACAAAAAAAACATTATTTTGTGGAAAACACAGTCATCAAATTAAAGAACAGTAACCACTGTAACACTAAAGTTACAGTTACAGAAGATTACAACAAAATTTTGGAGCGTTACAGCTGTCAGAAATTAGTAGGAAGTGTAGAGGACATCACTAGTTTCTCACACAGCTCTTTTCTTGGTCCACTTTTCTTCATAGTTCGGTAACTGTGGTGGGTTTCGTAGCCATAACATTGTCTACAAGGATTTTCCAGTGATTTTCAATTGGGTTTTGATCAGGACTCTGGGCTGGCCATTTCATTATTTCAATGTTCTTAGCTTCAAGGAACTGCTTTACCCGTTTTGAAGTGCGACAGGGGCATTGTCTTGCATGAGAATTGCAGGCTGATTGGGAGATGCTTGAAGGGAAGGAACCGTATGTTGCTGAAGGAGGTTCTGATAAACATATGCATTCACCCTGCCATGTGTCTGTATAAGAGGCCCAACTCCTGCTGCAAAAAACATCCACCAAACCATGACACTTCCTCCTCCACCTTTCACTGACTTCTTTACACACTTGTTTGAAATTACACATATATGAAATCACCAATGAAATCTGGCAACGGTCTAAAAATGTTTTCTTTTGCTCAAATAGCGTTAAAAAAAGCTTATTTTTCAGGCTAGACCAGCCAGTGCGCATGCGCAGTCCTGCCATGACACTTCCTCCTCCACCTTTCACTGACTTCTTTACACACTTGTTTGAAATTACACATATATGAAATCACCAATGAAATCTGGCAACGGTCTAAAAATGTTGTTTCTTTTGCTCAAATAGCGTTAAAAAAGCTTATTTTTCAGGCTAGACCAGCCAGTGCGCATGCGCAGTCCTGAGCGCATGTCTCAGAATGCTGATTTTTTTCTATAGCAACCGGGACTTCTAACAGCAGCTGCAGTGATGCTCTGACTTTACCGTTTAATGATTGACTCTTTTACTACTGTGATATTTTTTTTTTACCAAAACACATGGATTCACTACAGGAGGTCTTTATTCACCCCCCCCGGAGCCGTGTGAGGTACGCTTTATTATAAATGCACACGCTTTATTTGATGACTTGTGGACTGTTCAACTGCAACACCTGCTGACTGCAATCATAGAGCTTGGAATAGCCAGGACAATTTTTAATATAACTCAGACTGGATTTGTCTGAAAGAAGAAAGTCATATACACTTAGGATGCTTCGAGGGTGAGTAAAACACAGGCTAATTTTAATTTTTGGGTGAACTAACCCTTTAAGGGTGCATATATATATATATATACACACACACACACACTACACGGTGTATATACACACACACACACACACACGGCAATGGGCATGAAAAACAGCTCAACCCAACATTAGGCTAACACTAGGCAACAAGAAGGCTTTATTGTGTTATTTGTGTACATCCAGGATTTTTTTTTTTTCATTGAACAAACCTACAGTGGCGATTAGCTGTGGGTATATACCATTGATCTACTAACATGTTTTACAAAATAACCAGAGAATTTCCACAAAAAAAACATTATTTTGTGGAAAACACAGTCATCAAATTAAAGAACAGTAACCACTGTAACACTAAAGTTACAGTTACAGAAGATTACAACAAAATTTTGGAGCGTTACAGCTGTCAGAAATTAGTAGGAAGTGTAGAGGACATCACTAGTTTCTCACACAGCTCTTTTCTTGGTCCACTTTTCTTCATAGTTCGGTAACTGTGGTGGGTTTCGTAGCCATAACATTGTCTACAAGGATTTTCCAGTGATTTTCAATTGGGTTTTGATCAGGACTCTGGGCTGGCCATTTCATTATTTCAATGTTCTTAGCTTCAAGGAACTGCTTTACCCGTTTTGAAGTGCGACAGGGGCATTGTCTTGCATGAGAATTGCAGGCTGATTGGGAGATGCTTGAAGGGAAGGAACCGTATGTTGCTGAAGGAGGTTCTGATAAACATATGCATTCACCCTGCCATGTGTCTGTATAAGAGGCCCAACTCCTGCTGCAAAAAACATCCACCAAACCATGACACTTCCTCCTCCACCTTTCACTGACTTCTTTACACACTTGTTTGAAATTACACATATATGAAATCACCAATGAAATCTGGCAACGGTCTAAAAATGTTTTCTTTTGCTCAAATAGCGTTAAAAAAAGCTTATTTTTCAGGCTAGACCAGCCAGTGCGCATGCGCAGTCCTGAGCGCATGTCTCAGAACGCTGATTTTTTCTATAGCAACCGGGACTTCTAACAGCAGCTGCAGTGACGCTCTGACTTTACCGTTTAATGATTGACTCTTTTACTTAGAAGGTGGGACTTCGTTCGATAGAGCGGCCATACGGAGCGTTGCATTTTTCCCCATTCAAAACTAAACGAGTGGCACGTCTTGGGAATTCTATAGTCTTTGTTATGGAACAGCAGTGATACCGTGGTTCCTTGGTTACGGCTGTAAACAAAGCAGCACAGCACTGCTTTAATATGCATTAATACAGAGCCAAGATGAAAAGAAAATATCATCTAAACTTTTTTAAAGACAGTCAGTTCCCCTCAGAGATACATTCATATAAAGTCCTACCCCCAACTGTATCGCGATTTGTTTAATATCTCAACCGATTTGAATAGTCACATATTTGTATCGTTTTTCAACCGGCTCACGGTGCATCGTTACATCCCTAGCTTTCAGTCCAACTTCTCTTAAACGTCACAAGACAGATCCTTACCCTGTTCAGCGCTGAATTGGCGAGCAATTCCAGCTGCAGTGTTGAACCAATTCCACATTGAGAGTCTCCGCATTATCCTCTCCTCTCATGCATTTGTCTTATGTGGACGACCAACCTTTTTGGGGGACTTGAATGAATTTGTATCATTATAAAGCTGCAATATTCAAGAAACCAGATTTAGAATGGCCAACTTCTCTTGCAGTGGCTGAAAGGGTCATCCCTTTGGCCTTCATCTGAACAACCTGCTGTTGCAGGGTTTCAGTCACCTTAGAGCGGCCCTCCATCTTGCATTCTCAGTAAAAATTAGAGTAAAGCTGCCAGTTAAATAGGGGTTGTCATATAATTAATGAAATTAGCACCAGGTGCAAGACTAACACCAATAACTTGGCGGTACCTGTAAGTGTTCTCTAATTTCGATCGGAGTTCTTTTTCAAATATCTCATTTAAGTTTTTTATACTGTGCTTCAGAATACAATTAATTTATGAAATATGCTTAAAAACTGCCCGTCTACTCCTATTAGGTTAAGTTCAAATAGGACTAAGCAGTGACCTTGAAATGTAGGAAATTGTAGGTTGTTCTCTAATTTTGATCTCCACTGTATGTTATTGTCCTTTCAAATAGTCCATCAGCAACTTTTGATGAGCAGATCAACATTCAGACAGTCTTCACAGGTTCATTGGAGATAAGAGAGACAGCCTCACTGGTTGTCTGTATGATCATTTATATTTTTGAGAATAATAGTTTCTGTCATCTGACACCTGCATTAATG